TCCTTAATGAAGTCTTACAACCATGTGTTTTCCAACCCTGATGACTTTTTCTGATAGTCCTTTTAAAGAACATTGCTGTGTCGTCTTAGAAATTAGTAAATGAATGCCATAGATTCATTTGGATTTATTTCTAGAAATCTATGTTCCCATTTTAACATACAAAGTGTAATGAACATGCACTACTGTTACTTCAGTTTTCTAACCACTAACTCTAACAAGTTTTAAATTTTATATTATTTTTCTTTTCTTTTTTTGCTCTTTTCTGGGAACTTTGCTTTTACTGTGATAGTCAAACTGTGCATTGTTGTTCATGTTAGCTAATATTGAAAAAGACCGAATGGCCACTCAGATTGGAGCTATACAGTTAATTATTGTATGTGCAGTCTGTGGATCAAACCATATAAAATAAATACATAGTATCATTGATTCAAACTATATGTCCTTAAATTCACACCTGTTTACTTTTTAAGTGAGAACGGTTCTTCTCAAGTGATGTCTGATCTAATCTATGATTGTGCCCCTTCTTTCCATTGTGAGGTTTCTAAGGCTTGCAAAGCCTGGCTCCTGTTTCAGAAGAAATTTTGTAAATACAATTTTATAGCACATGCTCTGGAATAGCAGTGCAAGGCTGTTTAGTTAGTAGGAACTTCAATTTTCTGTAATCTCCCAGGATTATCCCCCTTTCCCGAGCTGGAAAGCACCTTCACCTACTATTCCCCCATATTTTCCAAAGTTGCATCAGCAATAGCTTTGCCATTCTCTAACACAGTAGTTAGTAGGATGATTCATTTTCCCCACTCAAAAATCTTCAGCATGCAAAAAATGAGGGTGGGAACATCTGGTTCTTGATTCTTGTATCTTCCCATTGGCCATGAAAGGAACATGACAATGGGGATACTTTTTGGACAATAAGAGAGGTGAAATCAATATGCTCTCAAGATAAACATTTTGCATATGATCTGTTTTCTGTTTTAAGCTAGCTTTCTGGTACCTTCCAGGTCTGGGAATTTAGCTCCCTAAATTTCAACTCATTTCAACTCATCTGTAGGCATCAGATTGAGAAAGTCTGCTCTGATTAGATCTTACATATTTTTGTTTTTGCCTAATCTTTTTAGAAAATGCTATCAAGGTATGTTTTTGTTGAGGTAAGTACTAAGAATTAAGAGAAGGCAAATCTATCTGATCAGACCTAGGAGTCCAAGTTCTGTATTGTGAAATTCTAGGCAACCACACCATAATTCCAAATAAACTTTGTTTCTTCCATTAAATGGTAGCTTAACTTTTTGCAGCCGATCTGGTGTTCCTAATCAGAGAAAAATATACAGTAAATCTCAGCAAGCAAGTGAAAACAAACTTTTACTAATTAATTTCTTAGATGGGAATTTCTTCTGAATCACAAGAGATGTCTTACAAAATGCGTTTTTGTATAGTTGATAGTAAATGGGATAAGATCTACATAAAATCTTTTACTACAGTAGAATATTTAAAACAATTTGTTTTTCAGATATAAAGCACAACAGTAGAAAGTGCCTCAATATTTTTGCTTGTATGCTATACAGATGCATTACCACACATTTCAGGAATAAAATATAAATCAATGCAAATCTCAAAATATTATTTCTTTTTTCTTAAGAGAAGCACTGGCATAGATAATATTCATTCCGTACAAAAATACATCTCATTTATTTATATTTTCATAAGTCAGGGCAAATTTACTTTTTGCTTATATGAAAAAAATAGACTGTTACTTGTAAAAATAGACTGTTACTTTCCTGTTACTTGTTTCTGGCAGAAATATTTTTCTTCCAAGAAAGAAGTAAGAAACTAAGAAATATCTTTCTGTCCCAAATCTAATGGAACTGTATTAACACTCAAACCAGCATTGGAATAGTGGTAAGAATCTATCAATATAAAAAGGAGGATTTTTTAAAATCCTAAATATAATCTATATTCAGATCCTCATGGAATGGATTACACTGAGAACTGCAATCTTGGAGGTTTCTATTTAGTTCTATATAAGTGTTCTTAGATAATTATGCACATTGATTTCTTCATGTTTTAGTACTGTCATATGGATCTTCATTTTTATTCTTTTAACTTTAAACAAAACTGCCATGAAAAAAATACATTAGTCTGCAACCAGAAATTTTTAAAAGTTTAACTGCTTAAATTTGTTTTAGTTTGTCTTAATTGGGATTATTCCTGTCTCAAGCTTTTCTGAGAATTTCATCTCTCAGCATAGTGATAATAGTCAGACTAACTTCTTAGAATACAGTTAGTTCTGACAGCCTTAGAACAGGGGTTTCCAACTTGACAACTTTTAAGGCCTGTGGACCTCATGGCTGACTGGGAGATTCTGATAATTGAAGTCCACAAGTCTTAAAATTGCCAAGTTTGGAGAGCCCTGTCTTAGAGAAAGCGAAGAACAATTTCAATCAAATCACAGAATAGTCAGAGCAGTTTCATTAGAATAAATGAAGCAAAACTTGAGTCTCATTCTATCACATCGTACTTAGAAATACTTAATCTTCTACTTATCTCATGACATTCCTTTGGCCTGTTATAGCCGGGGTAGACTTAAAATTTCAACACCCACTATTATTGTTCTGATGATGGATCTAATAATCAAATGCAAATACACATAAGTATAAAACCACCTTTATATTCCTTTAAGGCACAACAGGAAACCCAATCTGGAACCAAAGGCTACACTGACCCTTTACTTCCTAGCAAGAATAAGAAACTGAGATTTTAGGAAAGGCAAAATGCTGCTGTTATTTGGCAGTCCTCCTTCCTTTCAGACAGAGAAAGAAAATATTTTCTTCCTTCAAACCAGAAAGCATAGTAATCTATGTTGAGATCAGATATTATTTTGTGCTTTGAACCATCAAAAGCAAATTTAGAAATATTTTTATTTTCAGAAAATGATTAATCACAGCTGAGAGAAAAGCAAAACATTCCAATCAGACCTGATGACTTAAAACAAAACGCGTTCCAGTGAGGTCAATAAAAAAACAACACATCACTTATATGGTAAAAGTAGAATTACAGATTAAAACAAAGCATTTCTGGAAACTCTAGGACATTCATATCCCTCAAGTTCTATGTTAACTTCTTATTGTACAAAATTATCAGAATTCTAGGGATCGTACTGTCACTTAAAAAATAATTACCCATATTTGCCTTGATATCAAAGAAACTCAGTTGGCCAAAACTAAATCTTTTGCTTAAACCAATTCATAAGTTATATACGCTTTTCTAATGAGTTTCTTTAAGCTACCCTCAAACCACTGAACACTTACTTTTGTCCAAAAACACATATCCTGTAAGCTAAATCATTCTTGCTCTATAGCCTCTGCTCATAAAATAAAATAAAAAAAAAATCAGGCATATGACACATACTAATCTACAGTACTAAGGACTCAGGAGAATGTGATTCACTGCATTACAACAATAGTATTTCACAAAAAGTCTGCAACTTCCCTGATCACCAAAGGGCTTGCATATTTTGTAAGTGTTGCAACATATGTCTCCTGCTCATTTTACTGAAATCTGTACCATTGCTTTCCGCTTACATTACCTACTATGACATCCTCAAGTCATTCCCTCCATATGACTACACATAATTTCTTCATATACCAAACCTTTCATACTATTCTTAAACAGGTGGTATTCTGAAAATAGTCTACTATGTTTACACTTGAAATTAACATTTCTCTTTTTCTGGTATTAAAGTGAAACTGTAAGTCTCTATAGTTTAGCCCTATAAGCATGTTTTTAAACTCAGTTGATTTCATTAAAAATAATTGTTATTTACCTTTCTGAATATTGTGAGGTTTTATTTATTTATTTATTATTTATTTATTTATTTATTAAATTTATATAGCTGTCCATCTCATTGCCGTGACTTTGGGTGACTTACAAAGCTAAATGGTATATCTTACTGTAATAAAGGAAATTGCTGTACTTTGAACTGAATATTTTTCTTCAAACAAAATCCCTCTTCGGGTATTCAGTTATGAATATGTAAAGAGGTTTCAGGGAAGGATTTGGAGAGTTCCATGAATGACATTCTGTGACATTCTATACTGTATACCTAAGCTAACCCAAGATTGCCTTGAGACTAAAGACAGTTGCCCTCAGGATAGATATAGTGATAGGATTTTGATTAGTCAGGATAAAGATCCCATTTCATATTTTCATCAAACTGCAGCTTGCAGCCCATTTAATTGGGGTTCTTCATGCAGAAGCTGGTGGGAATCTCTTAACTAGGAAAAAAATCTGTTTTGTTTTGCTACATAAGAGCTTTACTTTACTTCTACCCTGAGGCATGTAACTTGTTTCTACCTACATCCTGAATGGCTTTTTACCTTATGCTTCATCTTTCTTTATCCTGGTTATGAGAATAATGTTTTTCAGGTGCCCAGCATGTCTTTCTGACCAATTCAGTGTCTTAGTTTAAAAAGCTTATATCTGATCTGAAACAGTATTTCAAATACTGAGCTAAAAAAAAAGAGTGGCGTTGGCACCAAACATAAGTGGCACAACCAATTTACATTAATGTAAGTTTCCTTCTTTGGGGAAGGAAGGTTGCATTGCTCTTTCGAAAGAAATGAAATATACCAGACAATATGAAGATAGGCTATAACCTTAATCCTTACTAGAAAGGACCGTTGAATTTAATGGTAGTTGCTCCTGAGTTAACGTTCATGAGATTGTAGCAGCAGAAATGAAGACCCAAGACAGTAGTCCTCAATTTACAACCACAATTGAGCCCCAAAATTATGTTGTTAAGTAAGAAATTTGTTAAGTAAGTTTTGCCCCATTTTATGACGTTTCTTGCCATATTTGTTAAGTGAATCACTGCAGTTGTTAAATTAGTAACACTGCTGTTAAGTGAATCTGGTTTCCCCACTGACTTTGTCAGAAAGTCGCAAAAGGGAGTAAGTATGAGTTACTTGTCAAGCATTTGAATGTAAATCATGTGACCATGGGGATGCTGTAACCGTGTAAGTGTGAAAAATGGTCATAAGACACTTTTTTCAGTGCCATTGTAACTTTGAATGGTCACTAAATGAACTATTGTAAATTGAGAATTACTTGTAAAGCACTTTTTAAAAAGTTATCTCTCCCTGCCTTATTCAGGAAACAGTGAACATATTAGAACCTGCTTTGTTATCCTTTGAATAGATATGAAAATAAGTATCTTCGTATTTTATTTGTTCTTGGAATGTCTAGTTAGATTTTTAGAAAGAAATTAAAAACAACACAGCTAAAGCCTAAAACAAAGAAGTGAATGAAATGAATTTAAATTCCCAGGATTGTAGTCAGTGGTGGGATTCAGCCAGTTTGCACCACTTCGGCAGAACCGGTAGCTAATTTTTTGTTGCCCAGGCCCAGAATGGACTTCCGGAAGCGGCATCCACACAGAGTACTGGTTGTTCACATACAGGTATTTGAATCCCATCACTGATTGTAGTATATCATACTGCAATCAGAGTGCAATGATAGTATTATATTCCAAGGCAGGAATAAAATATCTGTGATCCTACAGAAGTTGCTGATTTACAATTTACAGCAGCTAGCGTGACCAGTGTGAGAGATATTGGGATTGTGGTATAGCACTCTCTGGAAGATATAACTTATCCACTCATGCTCCGAGGACTGATTTACCTCACAAATTGAGTTGTCTTTCGATTTCCTGTCATCCACTATGTGCTATTCATTTCTAATTGTACTTTTGTAGTTATACCTTCAGTCATAAACATATTTTCTGACACCGAGGCCATTTGTGCTGATGTTTCCCCAAGAACATGAGTTTATAGATGCCTTCAAGAAGGTAAAGTTGTCTATTCAGAGTGACAGCTTCTTTCCAAAATCTCAGCAAGAAGACTTTCCTTCAACTGTTATGTAAGGTTTTTTAACCAGAAATACTAAGAATTCATCTAGGACCTACTGAAAGCAAAATCTGCATCTATCCACTGAAGTATGTTTTTCCAGCCAGAAAACTGAAGTATCAGCTGCATGAAACTTTAGACCCTATTATCTTTCCCTAACCAGTTAAGAAAAAAAAAAATCCTATCTGAGTCTCGGAAAGATAAAAATAATGCAACTGAACTCTTTAGGTTAGGAATAACATTTGCGTAGCCAATAAAGAAGACCAAAACTCAACATATCAGAACATAACCAATAGTACAAATAAACATTTAGCTAACCATAAGTAGGCTTGTATAAGAAACAAAAGGAAATAACTTTTTTCATGATTACTAAGATTACATTATTTATAATGATTAATTGGATAACTCACAGGTGTTGATATTGCACAATTATATCCTTCCCAGTTTAAAATTTCACATATGGAAGGACATCAAAACACCATTTTGTGATTTGTTTTTATATAAACTAGATTTTATCCTATGTCTATCAATGCATGTTTCTCTCAAGCACATACACACACACAAACACATACAAGACAATGAAAATCTGGGATCAAGGTCTTTTATAATGCTGACAAATCATAAAGTGTCTCATTCTAGATAAAATTTGATTTTACCAGGCCAGAAAACATATATTCACACTTTTCATTCTAGAATATGGAGACCTTCAAGAAAGGAAACTACACCAGACCCATTTGCTTTTCATGTTTGACGCCTCCATCCCTTTGGATGTGGATTATAATTTGAGTCAGCCATTGATAGACAGTAGTCAGACCTAGATTCCATGGAAATCATACCAGGATCAGTTTGGCCATGTTGGCTATAATATACAGGCTGAAGACGGGAACCATAATGGATAATGGAGCTAGGAGCAGACGTTGATAACCTGGCAGGTAATGTGGCCACTGAATAGCTCCTTCGAAGTGAAGCTAATTTAGAATGGACGCTTGGAGCTGGATGCTCATAAGCCACTTTTCTCTTCCAGTCATCAGGTGGTGTAGATAATGTTTTCCTACGAGCTGCTGACATGACATTTGCAACAATAGATTCTTGAATGGTTTGGGGACCAAAAGCATCATCCACAAATCCAAGAGGAGACTTAGCTGCTGCTTCCCAAGGGGTCAGCCTCTTCCCAGGCTTTTCAACTGCTGCTGGTGCTTTGGTAATATTATCAGGAGTGGATTGGAACATCACAGGAAAAACTGGGGAGATGGATCTGGAAGAAGTGGAAGGTAGCCATCCAGAAATTGATAAAGATCGTTCACTGCCTTTTTCCTAGAAACAGTAAAGGCTTAGAGTTATTACATTCTTGAATATCAGTGACAAAGATTCCAAAAGTAGAGCAATTTTTTTTCCTATTTATCTGAAGTAGTAAGGTTGCTTTTTTAAATACCCAGGTAGCTTTTCAGTGTTATAAAAATAAAGCATTCTGACAAACATTTTTAAAAGCTGGTGCGTTTTTGCTGAAAAATGTATTTAAAGGAAAATATAATTTCATAAATTATTTCTTTTTCTTTTTTAATGAAACTATCTCCAGACCCTGTGATCAACTATTATTAACAAATTCAAGAAAGCATTAAAATAAGAAACCCATTTGTCAGTGTCAACAACTAGCCTCCAGATAATACTAAACTCTAGGCTAGACTGGAAGTCAAAATTATATCTCAGAAGAAGGTAATAGCAAAACCATTATTTATCGACATAAAGAAAACTAATGGGTGTATCCATGAAATTACCAAGAGTTGAGCTTGACTAAAATAAGGTTTCATTTTGAAATTGCCTACTTTCTACGGTTTTGTTTTGTTCATATGAATCAGTCTTTATTTTCTGTGACAGCCTGGGCTAGTCCCTGCATTTTTCATGGCTAAATTTCAGAAGTGGTTTGCCATTGTCTCCTTCTTAGGGTTGAGAGAGAGACACTGGCCCAAGATCACCAAGCTGGCGATCACCTCACGGTCTTTGATTTTTAGCCTGATACCTTAACCACTACACCACATTGGCTCTCTACTGTCTATTGTAGTCATAGAAAAATAAATGTAGCGTTAGAGTCGAAGCTAAATTTAGTCCATAAACTCCTTAAACTAGGTTTGAAATGAAGCCATTGTCCTTCAGAGCATTTCTTTGCATAGCAATAGCTTTATAAAAAGCTAGTGAAGTAATAAGGAAATGCAGTGGAACTGAAATGGCAAATAAGATCACAAATCTAAAGCAATAAAGTGTGTGTGTGTGTGTGTGGGGGGGAAATTGGTATAATTAATTTTTGTTGTTGATGTTGTAATTGTTGCTATTCATAGCTTGGTTTTTACAGTTTGGGTTAAATAACAGTATATTATAACATTAGAATGGTATATTCTATTATGATATACCCATATATACAAAGAAATTAACATTGATGTTTTCTGTTTTTTGTTTTTTTTCTTATGCTAGTTTTTGTAAAAAAAAAAAGGTGAATGAATGAATTAGTGAAGCAAACTACAAAGTTGTCACTGCCTGATTCTACAACCTTTTTTTGCTTACTATGGAAGCAAAGAAAATACTGGAAGGAAAGAATCATTGCTTGAAATACCAAGCTATGAAAACCTAAAAATAAATTATAGATACTATCTGCGGTGTAACATTCTAACTTAACATTACACAAGCATTACTGTTCTGGTGCAACATTGCCAAAAAATCATAACACAAGGTCATCATGTCAAGAGATAATGATATCATGTTATATTTTTGTTGCACTGTTGCATCAGCTTAAAGCCACAATTGTTAACCAGACTGCTTTAAATTAATTGTTTATCAATGCCCCATATTTCTTGTGTGGCTTTACAATCGCTTGGTATGAAGGTAATATTAAGAAAATGGAAGTTGTTGTGCTGTAATGGTCAGTAAAGTCTATAATGCCAGTCACAGGCTATGTGATTTTAAAACAAAATGTATAACTTGTTAACCCAGTTTGGAATCAGAAACACCATGAATCCTAACTTGAATAGTGGGAGGTTTAAAAAGAATATCAAGATTTTCCTAAATATTTTCCTACTAATGAGCATTTTCCAATACAGGGTTCCCCACCCCCTGTCCGTGGACTAGCACTGCACCTCAGTATGCCAGAAACTGGGCCGTCCAAACAAGCGAAGCTCCATCCGTGGGATGCAGGCAGAATTCGATACCATCCCCCCTTCTGGTCCACAGAAAAAAACTCTTTCCATGGAACCGGTCCATGGTGCTTAAAAGGTTGGGAGGTCGCTGTTTTAATATATTATTTCTAAATAAAAATTTGCATCCAACTTGCCTTTTGTGATTGTTTCAGTGCCCTGAAAAATCTGCTCTGCTCTAATGTTCTTTATTTCTACACTGTTATATAAGCAGTCCTGAAATGGAAGCACTTGTTCCCAGCTTATTAATGTACCCCAGCTTCAGAAAACTATCAAGGGATTCTCATTCTGGTATGATGTCACATACCAAGATTTGTATCTTCATTGCTGATCTAGTTTTTAATAACTATAGAAAATTCTCTTAGCAGGGAATGTATACTTGAAAGAAAGAATTGTCTTATAAATAATGGCAACAATCCTTGTAAATCAGGTTATTGGAATGAGATCTTAGCGAAGGATCAAAAGGGTAAACAAATGTCTAGCACCAAAAATAGTAGTATGCTTTACAAAAATTAGCTGCATTTCTTAATCCTGTTCAAATTGATTATAAAAGGCAAAATAGGCAAAAATGGGCAACTTTATGAATTATTAGAAATATTAAAATCAATAAGCAAATGCTAATACAATTAAGATAGCTTGCTTTCATAGCTTTGTTTAGTCCATAATCATAAAGTAGAATAGTGCCCCTACTTTAGTAGTTTTCTATGAGAGAACCTTGGCCTTCTCAATGCTTTTTTCTCCATGGTTAAAAAATGGTTCGCTTAAAATAATAATACCACATCAAATCCAAACCCAATAGCTGTTCTTAAATAAAAGGAAAAAGAATTATCAATTTCAATCCATGGTTTATTATTCAGGTTTTTCTCTATGATCCATAGTTAAGCTTAACCATAGCCTTGGGTTTGATAGAATAAAAAAAAATTAAACATTTAGAGATACTGAAAGGAGGAGAGAGAAAATGGAAACACAAAACCTGAAGTTTATACATGTAAACCCAACATGGATTAACACTGGAATTACATTGAATTATACCATTGCTAATTTAAAAGACCACAAGCTTCCTGCTTGTAATAAATGCATTTCATAATAGTTCAGTATGACTCACTTGAATTCTGTTGTTTAAAAACAAGTAACGGTCTAGGTTGTACAATAAAAGACATTCAGCCTTGCCACCTTCTGGAAACCAGCAGTAATATCCCACAAGAATGAATTACTTAGGACAAGATGCTAAAGAATTTGGCAAATGGGTGCAATTATTTTTGGTCAGAAATTGATTGGCAGATTATGTCAATTAAAGTATATATTAAGGCTGGTATAGTTCTTTCACTATTATTTTTTAAAAGAATCTTCTGCAATGATGACTCACAAGACACACAGGCATACACTGAAAGAATAGAGTCAGTCTCATATTTCTTAGAATTACATGGTTGCATAAAACAGTCTTGAAACATTTCATAGAAAATGATCTTGCAGTATTCTTGCCAGCACCAGCACCATTGTCTGATATCCCGGCTTTCTAACATTTTTAGAATATACTGGGAGATTTTTCTTTGAAAGGCCCGAACAGCTGAGCATCTCTGTAATTCAGAGAGCTCATTAGGGTAAGGGAATGGATATGTATGGAAGAAATTCTCTCTTGAGGGCCATCTTTCTCTTTCAAAGTTTGCTCTTCCCTGTGCCTGCAAACAGACTCCTTTGCCTGCAAAGAGACCTTGCAATACTGCTGTACAATATTTGCAAGACCTGATGGAGAAATGTCCACACAGTATGCACATATAGGTTCCCAGGTAGAAAGAGCTACATTTCTCCTAGATTTTATTGTGCCCTCTAGGAATTATGAGGATTTAAATCTAAAACACATGTAGAAATACTACTATCACAGGGAAAAAAAAAATACATACTGCTATGCAAAAATATTTGGAATTTCTAACATTTTGCACATTTCAGTCTGTAACTACCATTCAGAATAGTGGAATTTCTTTTTAAAATATTTGCCTATACCATTTAAAACCAGAATGTGGTGCAAAAGTAAACTAATTTGAATTCACTCAACCCAAACCACCAAATATATATATATATATTAAATTATATATTATATAATTTAATATTTAGTAAGTAATAGTAGGTTTCTTTAGTAACATAGCTGAATATATCTGATTGTTCCATTTAACAAATCAATGTTTACCTTTGATTTATTTATTTCATTTTTTCTTCCCACTGATATATTAAAAGTCTTCTAAAATTTATGAAACTATTTTAGAAATGGATGGCTGATAGAAATTTTATTTATTCCAAAGACTAGCTAAAAAGTATAGCTTCTTCCATCCCTCCTCCCTCCCTTTCTTCCTATTTGAATTAGACTCCTAATATGACATATTAAATCATTTTAATCTTTTAATCTTTTCTTTCCTGCTTCAATTCTAATCTAGATTAGCATTCTCTGTATCTTCACATTAACAGAATATACATCTTTTAATGAGATAAATAAAATAAATATAATCTTCGTTTGCTTCACTCTATTCTCTTTTAAAAGAATGCCCTTGAACAAACAAATCTATCCACACATTTACCTTTGTAATTTCCCTTAGAGTGCTTTTCTCTTTTGTTTCTTTCATTTCTGCTGAAAAGTATATCTGGTGATCTTTAGATGTTTTTAGTCAACTATTTTGGATACAGCAAACTTTTTCTTATTACCATACTACTTGTGGTAATAGTAGCCTTGAATTTACTTACAAGTATTAGGGAATTTGGTGGCATTGTTCTTAATGATGGGTATAGATATCTCACGACTATTTATACCTTCACAACAGAAAATTATATTAGGATTACCATAGTTTAGATAATCCTAAAGGGATTGGAAAAGTATTGAAGACTATAAGGGCACCAAAAAATACCCACTGAATTCTATTGCTATAATTTCTCTGTTATTTAACATTGCCTTTTTACAATGAGAGGATTATTTTGGAAAACTGCACCATGAATACATTCTAAGTGTATCGTCCAATTAAATATGTTATAGATCAGAGGTCCCCAATCCTTGGTCCATGGACTGGTTGGAGACTGGGCAGCGCAAACAGCAGGCAAGCATGTGAAGCTTCATTTGCATATGTATAGGAACTAGTTTGTGCATGT